AAGGGCAAAAGAGGGTCGGTGCAACGGCATCTTATGTACTAGACGCCCACACAATATGTATTTCGCAATCCTTCCTTTTAATGGTATATATATATATATATATATATATATATATATATAAATAGAACTGTGTGCATGTATTCATATATTCAAAGCTATGGAAAAATATAGATGGACTTGGGTGTTTCAAATTGGCAATATTATGCATAAATTATGCGATATCATAATAATATTATGAATAATATTAGTAATTATTTTCGAAAGATATATTAATGTATAACATGAAGGTCAATATATTAAGCCAATTGATCCTTTTTTTGTTTAATAATAATACACGAATATATAATAATCGAAAGAATAAAATATGATATTTTATTTATGATCCGAAATTAATTAATTATTTTTAATGTCTAAACGAAATAAACGATATTTAAATATTATATATGAAAATTTAAATAACGATGTTTTATAGAAATGTTATAAAACGTTAATTATATTGATGTTATTTTGGTATTTAATAGATGCATCAAGGAATAAATTTTGATTTCAATTGAACGTCTGACCTCATCGAGCTTATTTCTACTTATGAATGTGCGATGGTACTATAGATTATTTGTACAATTATCAGTAAATAAATATAATAATGAAAGAGTATTTTTACAGTAGAATATTATTTCGTAATTGATATGTCATTTGGAGATTAAAGAAAGTATTTAGAATTATAAATAACTATACAATTTCTTATATTCTGTATAATTAGAATTCATTGGAGTTTTTAAAATATAGAAATTTAGGGTTGATAAATGATTAAATAATAACTATTTTATCTAATGATTTATGTAGTGAAAATTATAGATTTACAAAATATTTTATAACATTTGACATTAAATTAAACTTATAATCGTTCATTTTTCGTTTGTTATAAAAAATTAATTGTTTTATTAAGAATTATAATATGTATTTAATTTATATTAATTTATTCTTTAAATTTTTAAAAATTAAACTTAATGTTAATGAATATTAGCTAAGTATATAATTTATCTTATTAATTACCTTAGCAATTCAGTACCCAACGATATTTATTTGTCAATATATTAGCATTCGTTATTGTTAATGTCAAAGAACTGATTTATCGCTTTGTTAATATAATTACTGATAATACCTTTCATTCAACCTCGAACTACTTAATATAATTCGATAATCAATTTAAATGTGAATTAAATAAATGCTACCATTCGAGATTTATAATATATACTTAATATGTAACAATTGTTGTTGGATTAAGCGTTATTAAATATCGGTGAACATTGATTATTGTAACATTATCCAAGGTAAAATAAATTTAAAAGTACACGCCAATATTTTGATAATAATTGCAATTGATGTAAAATTATAAATAGAATATTAGATTAAAGTCGAAACGAATCGTGGATTAAAATATATAGTAAAATATAATATTATTATTGATTAAGAATTCAATGAATTTAATGCAGTAAATAGTAAATCCAAAATATGCAATAAATCCACTTTTTATTTTATGAGTACAAAATTTTGAAATTTTTTTTTATAGTGAACTTTATTAAAACTGGCATTTATAGGAATAATAAAAAAGATCATAGTAACAGCAACAGCAGCAACAGCAGCAGCAGCAACAGCAGCAGCAGCAGCAGCAGCAGCAGCAACAACAACAACAACAACGACGACGACGACGACGACGACGACGACGAAGACGACGACATCAATAAGAAGAAGAAGAAGAAGAAGAGGACGAAGAAGATGATGATGATAAATATTGAATAATATCAAACTTCTTCGATATTCTCACTCATTTTTTTCTACTAAAGAAAATAATTCTTATCTATTATCTACATTCTCCGTCGATACACAAGTACTTGTATATCTGTAACCACAGTTGTTGATCGGAGGCTTGAGTCCTTTCAAGTCGTAAGCAAACAATTATATTCCACGAAACTTAAACATATTTTCTTAATAGGTTTGATTGATATTTTACTGCGATTTTTAATCGGTTATTTTGATATGCTAAAGGGACGAAAAATCTTTTCAATAATAAGATTCATAGAGGCCAAATGTGTGAGAAGAGAATTCTCACGCGAGTGGAAGCTATATTAGCGAAGCGGAAGAAGAAATCGACTTGGAGAATTTCTCTATTTCTCTGCTTAATATATTCTTTTCTTCTTCTTTCTTTCGCATATAAGGATATGTCACCTTGATTTTCACATTCACAAGTCTTACGATCGAGATGGTTTATACATGTCTCGATCGTCGAATCGAATAATGATTTTTCTCCTTGTTATTTATTTGGGTATTTCCCGTGATTTTCATTCCACGGGCTACAACCATCGTTTCTCGTTGTTCGAAGATTGAACTAGGAATTGCCTCACCAGCGGAAATTGGAAAATCCGTCTTGCGTTCGTCCGTATATATCGAGATTTGGACTACTAAAACCTTTAGCATTGCAATGCAGACGGATAGATGGAGCTCGATTGGAGAAAGTAGTTTGCAAACAAATCGTGAATTCATTTACAAAATGTTATGAATTGATTTTTATACACCCGTAATTGGTTTTGTAATAGAATAATCAAAAAAAAATTTTTTCTTTTTAAACCTTAAATTAAATTTATAATTTTTAAAGAAAGCTACATTATTGCAAATGTTTGCAAAGGCTTATTTATTTATTTATTTCTCTGCTGCGTTATATTAGAGACAGATGATACATTTTCCTATTTTGTATAACTCGTCGATTGATTTTTGATTATTATAAAAGAACAGTTAATGACTTTTGTAAGTAATCATTATATTTAATATATTTGTAATTAACATTAATATTTATGTAGATGTAAGAATAATTTTATTTTCATAATAGGACTTATTAAAATACACTTGGACATTTATTTGTAAATATAAAACAGCAATATTATACGTCACTTTGAATTATTTAGAAATACGTACACTATATGATTTTTAAAAAGAAGAAAAAGGGAAGCAATTAAAAAATAAAACTTTTAATTTTTTATAAAAAAAATATATATATATATATATATATATATATTAAACAATTTATATTACTGCTGTATATCATGTTTGATTTTTATCCATTTTTAGTTCGATAATTAATAAAAAAATTGAAATTATTTAATTGAAATATTTATTCTATTATAATTTAAAAATAATTTAACAATCATATGTGTATATTGAATATTCGATCATAATATGCAAATTGAATGAAACAAAATTCAAACTTTAAAAACATTTATTTTAACGAGAGATATCGTTAAGAAATATTCATTTTTTATAAAAATATATTATATACTGAGATGACAGATACAACTTTTTTACATATATATTTAGTAGTAATCAAATCAATGTTAAAAGAGTGTTGTTAAACAATTAATTAGATACATAAAAATTAATGAATTTAACGAGAAGCTTAATAAGAAAATAATACAGACGAAATAAATCTGCCCTAAATAAATTAAAAAATTGTCGTTTACAGTAAAATTCCATTGTTAGATATTTTTATCTTACTTTTCAATTTTACGAAAAATTGTAAATATCAAGAATATTGTTATTCATGAGAGTCTGGAAGGAAATATCGTGAAATCTTGAAAAATTGTTGAAAAAAAGTAGTATTGTTGAAACTAAAAAATTTTGCAACAATATTAGCAAAAATATTGTTACAAATTATAATTATTTTGATAGAAAATGTATAATGTATAAACGTAATTATACCACCACCATCATCACATATCATATAATAATAATCTGTCTGATAATAAAATTATTTTGGAAAAATATCTAATTAATATTATTTTATTTTCAGATATACGCAACATGGAGGAGAGTGAGAGGAAGAAGGATTACAAAAAATTCGCCAAACATTTAATTTCATCGGCTATTATTATCGACAACAGCAGCAGTAGCAGCAGCAGCAGCAGCAGCAGCAGCAGCAGCAGCAGCAGCAGCAGCAACAGCAGCAGCAGCAGTAACAACAGTGATAACAGCAGCAGCAGCAATAACAGTGGAAGCAGAATTACAAATACCATTGCATTTTTACCTTTAAGTTTATCGTTGGAGACTCTCATCGAATTCTTTTCCTTCTGGTTAGTCGTCGAAGAAGAAGTCGTTTGCCATTGGTGTTAGTACTTTCACACGTTAAAAAAGCCTTGTACGTTGCTGTCGTAAATATGTGAGTCATGTCTAATAAAGACAAGAACACCTGCAACAGGTATTCCAAGATATTATTCGATAAATCTTAAGCGCGAATTATTGGCTGTGATTTTTTTTCTTTCTACATTTTTCTTTGAAGATTGAAAGGATAATGTCCTCCGCTATTGATCAGTGCGCTTAAATAGTTCACATTATATATATATATATATATAGATAAAGGAAAAAAATATAATACGAGTCTTTCTCGCAATTTGAAATTACCGTGACGAATACAGTTGGATGCAAAGGTTGCAAACAATTGTCGTGGAATCAATAAGATTCTAGAATGAAGGAAAACTAAAAATTGCACAGTGTCTCAAGTGTAAAGTGCGCGAAAACAAAACAAAAATAAGAAAAACAAAAATAATAAACCAAACAAGACAAAGAAAAAAATCAAAAACCTGAAAACGAAAAAAGAAAAAACAAAACCTATCAAGTTCGATGTATACATAAAAAAAAGAAGGGCAAAGGCGCTTGTCTGTCACACTCTTGCAATCCTTCTCACTCCCTTTCCACATCACCCTCGCATACACGCACACAAAACGTCCATATGACTGTCCATACGTCTGCCTCGTTTGCCTATCCGGCTGTCTCTGTCTCCAGACTTGCGAGATATAGCTGGCCATTGCTTCGATGCCCGAAGCTTCGCGTGTGCCTGTGATTGTGTTAGCGGGTGCGTGCGTCGCCGTACACGACGCGGCCGTC